CTTTGGGATCTGCAGACTAGAAACATACACAGGTGCCTACAGCGAGACCCAAATAACCGCACACGCCCCAACTGGTTTGCAAAATCTGAACTAATAGCAGCTAGATAGCCTGAAAAAAAATCCTTATAACATGCCAAGGACTGAAAGTGATTCATGCCGAGTTCTGACAGGTTTGGGTTGGGTTTTTTTTGCAAGAAATCTGAGTAATCTCCCATTAGCCTGAGTTTTATGCCTTGCCCATACGTGAATTCACAAGTCAGGGGTTGGGTTGCCACAAATGTTTTGGTGCAATAACGCTTTCGGTTTTATAGTGTGTTTTTAGAAACGTGCTGGACCTGTTCAAATCAGTCTTTGTTTTAAATGCTCCCTCTGCTGGCTATAGTGTGAATTATTATATTTTAATTAAAAAGCTCAGACTAAAATTCGATTGTAATGAAATTACTAGGCTAACAGTAAAAATTCCCTTTCTTTATTCCTCCACCATACTCGGAATCACACATTTCTATGGCACTGAGTGTATTGCACCTGTCTTGATGTTGGTACAGTGTTTGCAGGAGAGGTAGGTTTCTGTAACACCAATTGTTATTGCTGTTTTAAATCTCTTAATATAAAATATATTTTCTCCTTTAGCAAACTCTGCCTCTCCTATATCCCTAGACTGTCTTATGATGGGAAGTGCTGTGGTTAGCAGAGATTCTGCTTCAGAAAAGAAAAAGTGGTTGTGATGGAAATAGTGTTCTTTTGCTTATATAAAGTCAGAAAGAGTTATTTAAAATATAGTTTCTGTAAAAACAGTTTTAAAGGAGCCATTGCAGGGCTTCTTCTTTGTTTTCTTTTGCCTGTCTTCCTGTTGAACAGTTGATAAACATTTTAAAATGCTGTAGAAGATCATTGTTGAAAATTATTAAATTTACATTAGGGGTAAAACTTAGTCTTATAATAATGATATGCTGCCAACTATTCAAACAACATTTATAAAAGAAATAAATGCCATTGGATTAGTGCCAGAAAAAATGGAATTAAAAGCAAGGAGAAAATGTGTGCCTCCCCTGGGGAATGAACAAAACAAAACGTGGCCCAGCTCCAAAGAGTTTTCTAAGTGGGAGGCGAGGAGCGGCACCCAGCCAGGAGGGATGCAGGTGAGGGGTGGGATTTCTGGATGCAGAGGCACAGAGTTGTGTGGGCTGGCTGGCCATGGGGTGGATGGACACCTGGGTCACAGCCCCACCGTGCACCCGCTGCTGCTCCCGTCCCACAAATGGGGGTAGGAGGTGGGAAACGGTCCTGCAATGGGAACGGGGAAATACAGGTCCAGCACCATCGAGGCATCCAGTGCAATCAGAGATGCACTTGGCACCAGGCTCAGCTTCCGAGCTTGTCTCTCCCGTGGGTTTTGATGTGTCAGCCAGCCCCACGTGGATGTCTTGTACTCAACAGCACCGCAGTTCTGCAAAAAAAGTGTGCTGTATCTATGGCAGATTAACACTTGAATTAAGATGCCTCACGTACTCATCTACTGCCATTCGAAGGTGCTGTTGAGGATTTTGTGCCAGACACTTTGTCAGTCCGCAGGTGGCGGCTCAGCACCCATGGCAGCGAGTCCTTCAGCGGGTGCTGGCTCTGCATCCTCCCGCAGCGGCACCCAGCACAGGATGATGCGCACGGCTGCACCCAGCCCTGGGAGGCACTGCCCCGGCCTTGCCGAGCCCTGCGCCGTCAGACTTTTTACTACATCTAAGAAAACATAACTGGGAAAAAATGTTTTATGAGGCCAGCCTGTTTTTAATGTATTCAATTCAATGCAAGCAGGAGTACGACTCCTGCCGACCTAAAAAGAGGCCTGTAAGTCCTTTGAAGCTTTTTTCCCCAGCACTTTTTTCAGCAGGAGGAAAGCTTTATATTCTGTGAAAGTCGCAGGACCCTGCTGGACAAAATGGCAAACAGCTCCCACATTAGGGTATTTCAAAAGTAATGCTGCTATGACCATTAATGAATGAGAGAGCAGGGGAAGAAAATTGCTAACAGTTCAGAAAGAAAGAATGTGAAAGGAAGGCAAATGGGAATGAAAATGGAACTAGGACTTCCACTGGCTAAAACAGATTTCAAACGTATACATAATCTATAAACATATAAAAAAATGCGTTTATAGATCAGAATGGAGAACAGGAGCTCTGCTGTCTATTTTGAAAGAAAAGAATAGCACTAGTGCAGGTATTGTCCACTATTCAACACCAGCAGATGTGGTCACCATTAATCATTTGGCAGAAATGAAGTAAGAGGAGGTCACCTTCGCAGCCCACAGACACACAGGAAAGGTTTCCTGCCTTGAAAACAACCACTTTGGCTTTGGTTCAGCATTTCTTCAGAAATGCTGAGGTCTCCCATTCTGTTTCACTGTCCTCTGCTATGTGAAAACTCAAACTGGAAATGTTGTGCATCAGAAAATAAAATCAGTGGTCCTAGGGAAAAAAAAAAAATCACAGATATATTTCACTTTATTTATTTGTTCTTCATTTTGATAGCACATCTCAATCACACTTGGTAATCAGATCTTACAAGATCTTTCCCCTGCACTGGGAAAAAAGCAAAAAATGGTCAAGCATAAGATATTGAACGCGTTCACATCAAGTATGTTGAACATCATAAATAAGGTAACATTAAACCAGCTGGTTTTGTTTTTTTTAACATCATCACTGTTACACATCATAGCAGCTTAAAAGGTTTAACACAGCTTAATCTACTTCTAGTATTTTTATTTGAAAAAGTTTCTAATAAAGTTTGGTAAGAGATTAAAAAAATATAGAGGCCCAAACACTATAAAAGAATGTTTTAAAGATAAAGCATTTCTTTTTAGTTTGTAGGGCTTGAAACCCACAATGGCCTTTCTGCTTTGGCTAGGGATGCAATTTTGGAATTACTTACATGAAGGTTAGAAAATTCAACTCACTTGTGATTTTTACGCATCATGAAACATCTTTAAATGGGTTTGGGCTATTAGAAATGCTGACCACCCATCCTTTAAGAGGTCCTAAGCTAGAGAGACAAAAACCTCCATTTATTTCTGTAAATATTCGCCAAAGTACTGGAGACCTGCTATTACAGTTCACAGGTCTATGAAAGTAGGATACAAATGACTATAGGTGCTGTTATGTGAGTTTGGGTTTTTTTGTTTGTTTGTTTTAAAGCTTACATTTGAATATTTTGACAGCCATTAGGAACAAGATATTCTTGCAATGGATAGATGAAATCTAATTGTAGGAGGGGGGAAAAAGCTATCTACAAAAAGTAGCTAGCCATACTCGTTGATTTCATGAAAAGAGAAGTAGACAAACTTATACTCTTCTTTGAGAAGACTGACTTTTACTAAGCACAGGTAAAATATTGTTACAAATACTTGCTCAGATCCTACAACGTGTACAGTGCCCTAAACTGCATTGTGAAATAACCAAGGAATGAAGGTGCTAGGTACGCCTGAGGAAACACTTCAGGAGACGTAGGAGTAAACACATGAACAAATTGAGGTGTTGTAACGTGCATTAATCTTAATCTCTTCCTAGCAGGCATCAGCTTTCCATGCCTGCCAGCCCCCATTGAGCTCTCAGCTGAGATAGCGCTCGGTTTCTGGGAGCTTGCAGCAGCTCAGCTGGCCACAACCCTCAACTTTCAACTTTGGGCACAGGGACTGCAGGCAAGGAGAACAAAGCAAAGTAGGAGGAAAGCTGAGTTTAGACTGACACTTACTTCAAGGTTTACACTGAATTTTGATCAGGTGTGTTGCGCAGCTATATACTAAAAGGTCTTTTTATAGCTGGAGCTCAGACCTCTTTTTATATGTTATAGGATCCATCATGTATCTTTGCAGCTATCACGTACTTAAACCATATAGCTGCATGATAAAAGTAGTCAAGATATTCTGACAGAACTAGTTAATACTGTAACATCACATCCAAGTTGTGCTGTGATCTTGGATGTCGCATCAAACCGGTGATGACTTAGTAAACACATTCAGTCCAGTTATATACTTACTACCATTTCTTGTGCCAAGACTTTAATGTGCTTCAGTGCGTGAAGGAAATTTACAACCAACTCCATGAATATATATATTCCAGCTCTCCATTTCATTTCAGTTAAAAAACCCAGCAGCAATTATATTATAGCTTCATAGCAGATATTTATAACTTAGCTATAAACAAATGCTGATCTAAAGCTTTGCAGACAGCTCTCAGGCAAACTTAATAATTACAGAATTTATAGGAATATTAACCACTTTTTTTTCCAGTACTACAGTTACTACTATCTTTTAATGACAGCAGGTGGATATAAGTTACATCTTTTCTGACATGGGTCTACTCATTAAGTGGAAAAGCCAGAAGAAGCCTGTTGTTACAACTCAGTGTAACGATATTTTTTGAGGCTCTAAGTCGTGGTCTAAAGTCAAGTAAACGGAGCCGCCTCCATACAGTGGAAAGGATGCTGGAGCAGACCCTTCTTCAAGATTAGTAATCTGCCTTTCGAATGGACATAACTTTGGTTGCTGTCTGTTAAGTGTAAATTATATCTACTGAAGTTGTGTTTATAGGGGAAAGGAGAAAAGAGGGTTTAAATCTAGAAAAAAGTTTGAATTCTTCTGCAGTGTTAATTGGATATCTTGGCCAAATTTTATTCTGATTCAGATTGTCACTCGGCTGCTCTAACTCCACCAAGTCTTTGTAACAATCTAAATGGAAAAAGAATCTGAGCCACTGTTGAAAAAGCTTTGCCTTGTGACCTCCGTGTGAACCTATGCCCCGAAATGAGTTTCAGCGTGCATGACTGAGCCTACATCGAGGCCTTCTCTCATTAATAGCTTTTCTTAATACATACAACCACATTAACTTCCTGATGTTTCTAGGAAGCAACGTTTCAGTAAAGCCATTCTCTTATTTAATTTAAATACCAGTGAAAGTAGACTGGTCTGTATATATTTTAAATGACATAAGGCAGTTTGATCTACCAGTACCTTTTTTTTTTTTTTTTTAAAGAACTTTTCAGAATCCTGCCGTAAGAAACATTCTAATGAAATTGCCTTTGCCATTATCTCCCAGCAGTCAGGAAGCCTCACCTTACGGTATTTTCACAGGAGCCAGGACAGAGATGAGTGAACTGCCCGGGAGGACCCGCAGCCTAGCTGCACCACTCGTCACAGGGCAGGCTGCTCAGAGCCAGCTATTAGAGAAGGATGGAAAGTCAAAAGGTACGGGATCTGTTCAGTGCCTGCCAGTCACCGTCACATCTGTGTGCTTCACCCACACCTGCCAATTCAGCTTCACAACTCCTTTGTGAGGTAGGAAATTACTACTCCCTCTCTTGCAGAAAAAGAAAGTGAGGCATAAGGAGATTAAGTTGTTCTCCTGGGGTCCCACAGGAAGTCTGTGGTAAAGCTGAGGATGAATTTAATCCACTAGTTTAGTCACGGGTCAGCCACTCTCTCCTCTTTGCCTAGAAACACCAGCCTTTTGACCCAACCTTCATTTCTGCAAGCTGTAAGCATCCTGGACAATATACGCTGTCCCAAGTGGTTTCATTCCCCATTCTGCTTGTCCAAATTTTACAGTCTGGCTCAAACTGTAGAGATTTGTTGCACAATAGCAAGATCATCTTACCTAGTGTTTTGGGTCAGTCTACAAGACAAAGTTTAGCTGCAAAGCTCAGATTTAAATCTTCCATATAGATTAGACCCCACTTCTGTTTGCTTGCTTCACTCCCTCCAGGAAGCATGAAATAAAATGAACACTACAAGCACAAAAGAAAAGTCAATGAACAAAAACTTCTACTATTAATTACAAACATTAGTGCAAACCATACAGCAGATTATTTTTAGTAAGCTCAGTGTTTTCTGTAAGGAGGTCATAAAACTGAGGCTTTAAACACACATGAAGTCACATTCTTTAGCCAAATAAGTAGTCAGCTTTGAAGTTCACTCACATAAGCAACCTGGATTCTGCTGCTACACATAATATTTTATCCTAGATATTTGTATGTATGCTGTAATACTTTTTATTGAAAATATATTAGTCCTGTGCTTTTATAAAATATAAATAACTAAAAGGCAACATAGACCAAATTCCAAAGCTGAATTACATGTTTGGCTAAGAGACTTGTCTAGCATCATCTTAACTGCCTAGAAGAGCTTTTTTTTTTTTTTTAAATTCAAACGAGCCATTTGTCTATATGCCTAAAAGCCAACACCTAAATCCATGCTTGACATTCAAATGCACAGCTCTGCTGTCAAAGAAGAGAGTGTTCACACTTTCTTTGACATCAAGTGCTCACCACTGTTGAAAACTAGCTCCCGTTCTTACATATTCAGACATAGATGTAGGTGTTTGCCTTTACTTCACACCATTTGAAAATTGTGGCCTTTGTACCTAATCAAGAGTCAAAGCTTGGAAAGTTGCAGGCAGTTAAGAATGCTACAGGAATGCTGATCTCCCTGCTCAACATTTGTTTATGTTTGGCAATTGTCAGCTGAAAGAAGGGGAAAACAAATCAAAGTTTGAAAAAGTATTTCTCAAAATACTTTGCTGGAGAAGGCCAATTGAGCTAGTGAATGCGGTAGTTAGTGGTCTATAACCTCCAGCAGCTGCAGCAGAACGGATAAAGTCAGAATTTGGAAAAGTGCACTTTTTCATTGTGGGCTTTTTAGCAAGAACAGACACCAGAGCTGAGCACCTTGTGTCTTCTAGAGAGACTCTCTCTTCAGAGGTTTTCATCCAGCCATTTTATATAGCTGTTTCTGGTCTGAATGCCTGCAGAGAAATCAGTAGGCCAAATGGTGAATATCATACAGCCATGAAAGCAGTCATCGAAGTGATCAAGCGTGACTTCCACGCCGGCGTTCTCCAAGCGCTTGGCGTACATCACCCCGTCGTCTCGCAGGACATCATTCTCACAGGTCAGGATGTAAGTCTTTGGCTGCAGCTGCAGAGTTTCATTTTCTGCAAGGAGGGGGACTGCTCGTACGTCAAGCAGCGCCGGTATCTCCTGGATGATTTCAGCCTTGCCTGTGGTTTGTATTACAGGCTTGTAGTTCTTTTTGAACGATGAAGGCAGTAGAGATGTCCAGTTCAGACGTCCTCTGAAAGAGAGAGCTTGGCCAACGTCAAGAGCAGTGTGGTTGTTAATCAGTAGTGAGTGAGCAAAGTCGTAATTACCATTGAAATAATCTATCCAATAGTTGATCATGACATAACGAGGCAGAACGGGCATATTCATGTTCTGCTGATAAGAAGGTGTATTGAAGTCAAATGCCTGGAGGACTGGATAAATTAAGGCCTGTAGTTTCGGTCTGATGGTCAAATGCTCATCTTTGCTAAGCTGTGGGAAAAATACAAGATAGAATTGGGATTATAAAGAAAATAAACATTACAGTATCAACCTAGAACTTCATACAAGCAACCATTCCTTTGACAATTTTTAGGATGAATTCTGCTCTTATGCAGATAATGTTGCTCTTTTGTCTGAAATATTAGCAACCTGATCTTTTTCTTCTCTTATAAGGATGGCCATTCAGGTAGACCCAGTATCCTGTCTCCAACAGAAAGCAGTGGCAGAAGTTTATTGAAGGGTGCAAGAAGAAAAAAAAAGCACTTCCATAACACAGTGCCCAGTTTAAGAATTGGCAACTGAAGGACTTCCTGAATCAAAGGAGCTATTCTTGCCTTTAACAGCTCTTCATGGATTTTTCTTCCATGAATTTATCCGATTGTTTTTTTAGCATATACAAATTGTTGGCATCCACAGTTTTCTCTAGCAAAGGCTGACCATGTGCAGAAGCACCTCTCTGTGTTTGACCTGACACTGCCATCTGCATTTGATTTGAGCCTACCAATTATACATTTGGTGCCCCCTAATCCTTTTCCTGGAAGAATCAGCAAACACTTGTTTTGCTTCATCTTCTACACAAGATACAGGGTTCTCTAGCATATCTCATCTTGTTTAAAAAGAATTATGCATCAGGAAAATAAATTAGGAATGATTTTTCCAAAACATGGTGCTATCATGTTTATCAGTCCTCAATATTGAAACTTTTCATGTAATTGTCTCTTATTAATTTTGTCACCCTAATTCAATATTGCAAGGTTGTCACGATAATTAGTTGTCTGGACATGGTATCTGCTTTCTTATCACCAATGGTTATGGCAGTACAAAAAAGCTAATAATAATATTTCACTCAACCATGAAAAATATTATTACTTGCCCCAGGCTGCCTTTAAAATCTTTGCTAGATTAAATTCAGATTACATTTAAACTGCAGATACACAAAAGAAATTTCCTTAAAATTGCAAAATGTTACAGGAAGACAATTTAACAGAAGAATTAAGCTTCCTTTATTGTATTTTTTTGTCCTTCATTTGTATCTGAAAGAAATAAAAACATATTTTCAGAGACAAGCATCTAAAACCAGGGAGCTAAATTGATAAATTACGCATGTAGCTAGTTACCTACTTAGAAAAATAAAGAATTCGCCAACACAAGGGGTAAAAAAAAGTCATTTAGCTACTTGCTCTTAAAATCTGGCCCATAACAACTCTTAACTGTAGTAAGACATTTCAAGCTATGTGATTCATACTCCGATTGACTCATTTTTCTTCTGTAAAGTGACTAGATGCTGGCTTCCCACCATTCTGTCTTTAGGGTTGGCACATCACCTTGTGATGGTGAAGCACAAAGAGTCTGTCAGCCTATATGCATCACTGAATTAGGGTTTGTCGTAACGTAATACATAACAGACGCTGGATGTTACCTGCTGACACACAGCAGCTGCCAAATTTCCTCCTGCACTGTCGCCAGAAATTGCAATTCGACTTGGGTCAACTGAATACTCAGCTAAGACATCAGGCTGCAAAAAATGCTTAGTAGCACGGAGAGCATCGTGGAATTGCTCAGGGAAGCACACCTCTGGTACCAGCCTGTATCTACGAAGAAAAGAGATGAGAGACAATTATTACCGTCAATGCACCTCTCTTTCAGGATTAACAGGTGATATCAGGTATTTCCTTAATGGCTGTCCTGGTTTCAGCTGGGATAGAGTTAACTGTCTTCCTAGTAGCTGGTACAGTGCTGTGTTTTGAGTTCAGTATGTGAAGAATGTTGATAACACTGATGTTTTCAGTTGTTGCTCAGTAGTGTTTAGACTACAGTCAAGGATTTCTCAGCTTCTCATGACCAGCCAGGGCACCTGACCCAAACCGGCCAACGGTGTATTCCATACCATGGGACGTCCCATCTAGTTTAGGAACTGGGAAGTGGGGGGGCAGGGATTCGCCGCTCGGGGACTGGCTGGGTGTCGGTCGGCGGGTGGTGAGCAATTGCCCTGCGCATCATTTGTACATTCCAATCCTTTTATTACTACTGTTGTCATTTTATTAGTGTTATCATTATCATTATTAGTTTCTTCTTTTCTGCTCTATTAAACCGTTCTTATCTCAACCCAGGAGTTTTACTTCTTCTCCTGATTTTCTCCCCCATCCCACTGGATGGGGGGGGGAGTGAGTGAGCGGCTGCGTGGTGCTTAGTTGCTGGCTGGGGTTAAACCACAACAATGGCATATAACTATTTTATTAGGATAAATATTATGGGAAAAATAGGAGGTGTGTAATACTTATGTAAGACTTAATCTTATAATTAATGCTCTAATTTTGAAAGATTAATACAAACCTACTAGATATGAATAATACCAAGATAGTATAAAATTGTGCAGCACTTTCCTAGGATTTCCCAATAGAGGATTTAATCATACATTATAAAAATGAATGAATATTTAAAACACCCTTGGCAAGGGAGTCATGACAATCAGGCTGGTGTTGACCCAAATCCCCACCTTAACTAGTATGAGGGACAGTAAATCATATACGCCCAACAGATTCCACCAAGCCAAACACCTAAGCAGTTCTGTTTCCCAAATTTTTACCTATGCTCAGGAGAGAATGAACCTTGCTATACCTCCATGCCATGAAATGAACAATAGCCAAGAAGTGAATACCAATTTGCTCCAATGCAACAGATTCAGTAAATCCTCTCCTTCACTGAAGAGCAGCGCAGGAATATACCCATTGCACAGGTGGAGAAACTGAGGCACAGAGAGCAAACGATCTGCCCAGAAACAGTCAGCAGCTGAGTCCCATCCATGGGATTTTCTCAGTTTCTTAATAACAGTGCAGGAGAAGTCTGTTCATGTTTACTGAATAATTCGTAATGTAAGAGTTCTTACTAGGCCTTATGGTACAAAGCATGTCTTCTGTTTGTAGCTTTTCAATCAACAGATTTTACATATTCTCAGTAGAGCCAAGCGAAATGAGCAAAACAAAATCCAGTTTTTTGATTCAAAACATTTTCTTCACAATCTAAGCTAAAAAAAGTTTCATATGCAGAATAAATTTTAAACTTAGGTTTACACAAAAAGTGTTTCAAAATCTACCTTTGACCTACTTTCAGAAAGCAGTCTATATATTGCATCAACTGCAAAGGAATATGAAAGAGTCCTTTGGGAACTCCTTGCAAAACTGGATAACAGACTGTGCATATATCATGAAAGTGAGACGTGCAATTAAACCAATGAGAAATCTAATCAGTCTTCACTAGTTGAGTACAAACACCTTGACTGAAAGATATAATGGCTAAGGAGAAGAGGTAAACAATAACTCAGAGAAACAGGCAGAATTATACCACCATAAATCAGAAAAAGAATAATAAGGAACTTTTCAATCCTATGATAGCTGCTCGCCTAGAATAACCAACAGCTGCCTTTTTACTTTTCATTGTTTCTGCTAATAAACAACAAGGTAGTGGAAAAAAAAAAGCTACCCTTTAAAGTACACTTTGAGGATTGAATAAGTAACATCAACTCCATATAATTAAGTTGCAATTAGATCACAGAGCTTGGTATGTAATCAACTGCAGGTGGGAAACTTGAGTACTTGCATCAAGTAATTGGGTTTGCACAAGAAAATATTGACAATACGGATGAGAAAAGTACCAATCAAGTTGGAGTCATCTAGGTAATGCAGTTAGCTAGTTGAGAGGTTTGTTTACCTTGAATTGTTCAGCGGGTTAAAAAAGCAGCCCTGCTCCTCTGTTGTCTGGCACCCTGGCAGTCCTCTGCTCTTGACTGGAGTACAAGGCTTAAATGAGATGACTGGAACAGTGGGAGATTGAGAGAGCAGCAGGAAACTGCCAGACTCCACAGTGTATTCTGCTTAATGAGCAGGGATAAAACGATTTGATAATTTGACCCTTGCTCAATATAACTTAGAAGCTGTGGTTTACAGACAGACTTTGGGGGGGTTAATATATGTATTTTAATATTATAGATATAATTTTTTAGATATATATATAGATATAAAAATAAACCTTGCAGAAGTGGGAGTGGCCACTGAGGATGAGAAAGTCCCTCTTACTACGTGAGGAGGCATAGTGATGTGGTTCAGCCTTCCTTCAGGTATATATCATGTCCAAATGCGTTTGGGTTTTTTGTTTGACTGTTTTTAAAGTTCACAAGTATTTACTGAATCATAACTTGGCCCTTGAGTAATCTCAGGGTTTAGCTGCACTCCTTACATGTAGATACAATTGCAAGATGCACTAAAATTTGCATTGTAGTATTCGTCCAACTGAATTAAGTGCTACTCTCTTTTCCCACATTTCTGCCTTCTAAAATGACCTCTAAAATAATTAGAAACCCAAATGAATTTTTGATACCGTTCCAATTTATTGTAATTTTAAAAGGGTAAAAATATCAGACCAGTAAAGAGTTATCGTCCAAGTTAAAGCCTTATACACAAGCCAGTAACAAGGGAACAGCTAGAAGAACTCTGTTAGGTACTTCTAATACCTTAAAATTACTCTATCAGTTTTAGATTACTCACTCAACTGAGACAACTACAGCATTGAGAGATTCAGCCATGATTCTGCAGAGATTGTTATAAAGGCTTGTTCCTGGAACGAAAGGACATGGTGTTAGGGATGTAAGAATCCACTTATGTCAATATTCACAAAGGTGTATGTAAGCCTTCTTAGAAAATACAAACATATGATGCAAATATAAGCAAAGTAAATGAGATCAGCTTGCAATAGATAAAGTGCCAAATACATATTGTAGCAGAAGGAACAAAATTCACGCCTTGAGAAGTCCTGCAGTCTAATGCTTTCTTTCTTGTCTGTTTCTTGGTGACTTGGGGCATGTCATTTCATCCACCTATCACAATTCTCTCAGTTGGGCAAAATTTAAGGTACCCAGTGGCTTGAGGACATTAGCATCCAGAGACAGTTATCACTGTATGAGTCACTGCTTGTTGTTCATTTTGTTATAGCATGTATTGCTCAGTTTCGAATGAGTTGCCCTATTAACGTCAACTGAACTACTCATTTAAGGGAGGATTAATCACAGCTATCCTGTTTATCAATGGACTGATTTTCTTTAATTTTATTCCCTTCCAGTTACTTAATCGTTGGTTTCCGGTACTATAAAATATACTAAGACTCCAAGCGTTTTCTAAAGTATCTAGTTTTAGAATTTAATATTTAGCTGTAACATTTGTGCCATTAACTTCTGCATCTTGGACTTGAGGATAGCATCTGACATAGCTGAATTATAGTCATCCAGACAAAATGCAGTAATTTAGTATAAACTTTTTGCACAACAAGAGTCATACGCAAACTGTTACAGAACAAATGACGTGGGCAAGACGCTAACAAACATCCCTTAGGCAGGCCTAAGAAAACCCAGCTCAAAGCACAATTCCTCTGTAGAAAAAGGAGCAAAATTTTTGACTGCTATAAGGATTGCAGGACAAAAAGACTGGGATTTCCAAAGGCACAGATTTTAAAGCTATTTAGGAACCTAAATCTCACTTGAATCACGGTCTAAGTGACTTATACATGCATAGTCCAAATGCAATCAATACAGTCTTTGTTTTGGAACATTTCAGAAAACCCCATTAATGTTCTTTTTCTATAGATGAAGCCACAGAATGCATCAGGGCTGTATGGACTTCATGATGTCACAGTAGCAATGGGGAAGGAAAAGGGGGAAAACTGCTATCGGGTCTGGATCTCGGAGCAGCCATGAGAACCGCACGCCCTTCCTCCTCCCAAGGCTTTCCTCCTCCTGTACGACATGGAAAGATCAGTGGTTAGCTTATCGTTGTCTATAGCTACACCTTACTTTCTCTGATCCTGTTTGTGGCTTCCAAGTTAATTGGAGTAAATAGCATTAATTTTCAAGGTAATTTCTGCTAGTGGTGGCAGTGGTCCCCCAAGGGAGGGGACCAGACCATGGGACGGTAACTCGCCTCTACCCATTTCCTTCATCACACCGCCTGTTGTCTGCAATCAGCAGCATGTATTCCCAAGTATGTGTTAATTAAGAGCCAAACACTAGCAATGCTGTTACCTGCAGTGTTGTTCAGCTCACTCTTCTGCTAATTACTCTGTGAAAATGGGGCAAGCCCCTTATACCTAGTCACTGGATCCTCATCACCAAGGATCGACTTTTGCACATGACCACAGAAAACGGGGGCTGGCCCAAAAAGCCCATCCAGGACTCCCAGGAATTTAAACAGTAAGCTGTTTTGTCCTCTCAGGATGTAACAAAATTAGCCTTTTGCTCCTTTTACAGCTCATGTGCAGATAAGATATGTGTTTTTGCTGTGCGTTGACAGTATTTTTCCCCCTCCCTCCTTAGAGCCGATCTACCAGAGCGGAGACAGTTTCTACTGAATTCAGGTACGTCTTAGCAGGATTGTCATCCCTGGCAGGCATAACGGCTTTTGGCTTCTCCTGCTAGGAGAAAACCAGACCAGAATCCTATTTAATTACTGGCAGACACATACTTGCACTTGCCAGGGCCCAGCCCCCTCCATGGATGTAAACAACGCTGCGCTTGAGCCTTTCATCTCCCTTTGCAGGAGGTTCAAACACTCTGACTTCCACACCGTCAAAAACAGCATCCGTGATGTTAATGTCTTCGGAGGAGACAGACTTCAGCTTGTCAAAGGTACATATCAAATAATTCAGAACTATCAAGTGATGGCTGAGTCTTAGATAGTGAATCAGGTGACACTAGGAGGAAAAAAAAAAAAAAAAGAAAAAAGATTATTCCTGTTACTTCAGAGCGCATCATACGATACTGCATTGATGTTTAATGCAACTGTCTTCAAAGGCAGGTCCTGTACGAAAACAAATACAGATTCTTAGAATATTTGCCCGAAAATGAATGATTATCAAAGACCTCTAATGCTTTTAAAGCTGCATTGAAACAAAACCCTGTCCATTAAAGAGTCTTTGTTGTCAAAATAAATCAAACCACGAGCACTACGTGGATCAAGACAACCGTGAATGAGCACTCTGATCCTTGCCTTTGAAAGCCACCTCCGAAAGGAGATGAAAATCACCAGCACGCTCCACTATGGGACTTGGGAAGCTCCTCAGACTGGGGCCCACAGAGGGCAATACTACACAGGCAAAATGTCTGTGGTGGTAAGGTATCAAAAATGCAAAGTCTTTCTCTTGTTCCACCCCAAAGCATAAGTCTTTCCACTTTGAAATTGAGAAAGTTCTCAAGGATTGCAAAGAAATTTGAAAACAGGAATGGTCTTAAAGGAACATAATGGTTGTTTATTGGCTTGTCCTGTATTTACCTGCTGAATTGGGAGGGATCTGAAACACTATCCAAGAACCATGCCAGGTCAGTGATTTTTTTTTCCCCAACCCCAGAGACTAAAGCATGTTACTTTTTTTTGTGGGGTAAAACACTATGAAAATGAAGAATGATCTGAGCTTTCTGTGCCCTTATTGGTAGAAGAAGAGAGAGATTTTATCCGCTTTGGCTATCCAGGATTTTTATTTTCATGTTTTTTAAACTTTGCCCTGAATAGATTAAAAACCTGTTTCTCTCAGCAGACAGTACTGGGATTCAAGGCATTCATCCAGCCTAAATGGTCACGACCTGCTCCCCATATATGACCTGCACACTATTTGTAGTGCGTACTTGTTCCCATTCCGTAGATGGTGCAGAAAGGACGGCAAAGGGTGAGCCAAAGGGACTGCAGGGACTACGATGTCCAGACGGGCGGTTAAAAAGAAAAAGTAGTGGGGGGGTCTTCCCCTATTGCAAAGGTTATCTCTATCCTAGTGATGAAGGCTAGAAATAGGATAATCAGCTAAGCCTTTTGTAAAACTTTCTCAGTCAAGGCAATGGAGTTGGGAGGTAAAATTAATACATATACCTAATGTACACCTGTAGGACCACTGCCATAAGGAAAACTGTCAGCTGTGACCTGTTATTTTTCCTACAGGTACCAAATACTTGGAATAAAAGGTGAACTGTTAGGTGCCATGGGGCTTGTCTACACACAACTGCTTTACTGTTTTAATTCTGCTAGTGCCACTACTGCAGTGCAAACCTGCTAGTACAAATTAAACATGCTGACACCTGAGAGTGAGCGGGGTCACCCAGGTACCGGTCTAACTGCATTCACGTTGTGAAGAACGGATAGTTGCCATAGATTAACCTGTACAAAAACTAAGTGGAAGCCAAGTCCGGTTCCTCGTGCCAGACAGGATTTTGCAAATAAGAGTTTCAGAATGTCTTTCTGGTTTCTATTTGTTCACAAGGACACCTATTTCATTTTCTTGACTTGGGTTTCTTAGTAGTACTTCTGCAGTACCATTTTCACAGCCACTTTCAGGGCCAGGTTTCAGCTTTTCTGCCAGGAGCGCCTGCTCATGGCAAAGGAAGGGCTAACGGAGGCAAACACACACACCGCCAGAGGAAAGCAAATTTTGAAGCATTCAGCAGCATCCATGCCAAAGAAGATCTGTCTCCTGAGAGGTCTACAACCCCAGTTCCTTCCATGTAACTTCTTAATCTGTCACCATTAGTTTGAATGTAAAAAAAAAAAAAAAAAAAGAAATACTGGCTTTCAGTCAGGTGCTGTATAGAAAAGACCCTGCACAGCCCCACTTCCACTGCAGATTGCTGCAGAAAAGAGACAAGCTTTGATATTTCGCCCCCCAAAATCTATGCCAAATACAATGGGCTGCTATGCGAGCAGGGAGAAGAATCCACTTCCAAAACAAGAATTTACAAAAATTACTTTCTTTTCTTGCTTTAGCTTGTGGTAATGTCACCCTGCTGAGATAGTTTGGTGGGAATCCAAATTTTAAAACGTTTGCTGCTTTTTGGATGGAATATAATTTCTTTATACTGCAAGGCTTTTCTCTGGGAGAAGAAACACAAAGTATCCACCCAGCGGGAAGAAATGGTGAATTCACATGGCTGTTTGTATCTCTGAACTTCAGATCATGCTTTTTCCCCGCCATTACTTAAAAATTCCCACAGGAAAACCCAGTTTGAGTTTGAAATCAGAAGAGCAATACATCTGTTAATAACTTGGCATACAATTTGTTGGGCTGCCATTGATGTAACCAGCTAAAGATCTGATCCTCCTGGTGCCCCATGGAGGTTCCCAGGGAAGGTAACCACTGGGAAGCAATTTTAGAAATACTGCCAGGGATAACAACGTTTCTGTAGTTTTCTTTTCTGTTGTTTTTTTTTTTAGCCTGACCTGACTGTGCTGCAGTATACGTCCCATTTTATTGTTCTCTCACTTTAGTTCACATTCTTTGTAGGCGAGATTACCACCTGTTCCCCGGAATCAGAAATGTTTCATTTTCAAGGCTACTTAGTGTTGTTTACTGAGAAGTGTTTTGCCCTGTTCTTAACCTGCAGGTGGCCACAGTGCTCTGCGGTTCAATTACACACTTCCATGCCTTTTTTTTTCCCCTATAATAGACCACTCTTTCCAAGAATCCAAAAAACAAAAATCTGGAAGAGAGGCTTTGTACATCAGGGCACAAAAGCAACAGTCCACTTTTTTTTTTGTTAGGCATAGGCAGGTTTTTCGCCAAGCACTTATCAGACAGATTCTTTCTAAGTATATCTATCTAATCAGCCTATTTGGTTGTCATTCATAAGGCATCAGGATTGCACTTTTTGCTGGCAAAGAGCTAGTCTTGTCCAAAGTTCTTACAAATAAAATTCCTATATATTTTTTCTCTATAAATAAGTATTTAAAATAGATATATCTTATCACTCTGTAATAGAACTACTGGCAGAAGATGATGGGTTTAATGGTTGGCTAACTGTCTTCTAGGACTACGTTGCCATGCAATGGGCAGACCTGCCCATCCTCTTGGCTGTGCTTCCCTGGCACCTTTCCTGTGTTGGCACTGACAAACGCAAAGCCTCAGAGCACGACCTTGCTGCGCCAGCTCAACATGAACCCAGCAAAAACAGCAAAACAACACTAAACTTCAGCCAGGTCACCATCTTACTGATAACCCAAGGGAGGAAAAAGGGAGTGGGGAAAAGGATGGGACCAGCCCTTTTGGCAGAAGTCCACAGTTGGATTGCCTTAAATCCACTATAAAACTGTATCTGGTCACGTCATGTGAGCAATAATTGGTTTGATCTTTGCTGGTATGTGTGATTTAAATTACCACCCTTCCTGTGACAACATGCAGGACTGTTGCAGGCTATCAAATATAGCACTTAAATATATTTGGGAACTACACCTGTGTGTGTGTACATGCATGGGGAAGAGAGAAACAGCGATGTTCTCTGGTGAAAAGGGAGACAAGACAGTGCTGTAATAATAAAACCTAGTGAAAAGGAAGAGAAAGCAAAAGGACAAGGGGGAAATTAAGAGACTACAGAAAAAAAAGTAAAGACAAGCTCACAGAAAGAAAAGCTAGTATAAAGATGAAAGCCCCGTGGGCAATTAGCCCAGAACTGCAGTGCCAGCCACAGGCACGGCACATCACTCAGTCCGGGTCACAGCTGCAAGTTTTCCCATGCAATGACTGGCTTTATGCATCCGTCTGAACACACACTTTTATGTTCTGAACAGGTAACTCTGGGGAAACGTGGCTGGTGAACTTCATGGCACTATGGGCTGGACCGAGTAATGGGCTGAAACACACACCAAGAGAGCTCAGCTGCTGGGACGCAAGGCAGAGCTGGATGAGCAGGAGGAGCCCAGGAGAGGAGGGTTAGACAGGCTAGCGAGGCAAAAGTGAGTATTTTGCTGGTGTTTGAGCCAATTCAGCAAGTAACCACTGTGGACACCTTACAGAGCCCTACTGACAACCCATTGCTCATTTCTGATTGCAGCTTTTCATTTTGGGGCCGTTGGCTCCCCATGACCCATGGCTGCGTTGGCAGCGCTGTGATTTACACTCGCACCGTAACACTCCCCAGCTCTCCAAGTCAGGCAAAGCAACTGCTACAGGCACAATCTCCTTCTCTTTTACCAGGACACCCCCATAACAGGGGTTTTCAGGTAGGGACAACCCAGGGACCCCCTAGAGACTAAACTGTTCAAGACTGCCACTTTCCTTCTGGTAAATTCTTTGGTGAGGGGTACCAGATCTTGAAAGATTTAATTGATGTAGGAGAAAGTTCTCAATAAATGAAAAAAGGAGTCAGGATTGTGGTAAAAGGCAGACAGAATGAACAAAGTACTGCTCTAGAGAGGCACCATTACTTCACCTTTAATCACTGATACCTGTCCCTAAACTATTAGGATTCTTCTGTTTGCTCCTCAGCTGGTGGTTTCCTGAAGAATCCCAAGTGCTCCCTGCTGTTATTCTTACCTCTCTCATGGACCTGTACTCCATATTAGTCATGTGTTCTGTATTATAACAACAACAACAAAAAAAAATCCCCCAAAAGTTTTTCTGTTGCTAATATCTATTAACCTCTAACAGTACCCAGCACATTGGGATTCTTTGTCCTCATATGACTTCCATAGCTGACACTGTGCAGCTTCGTGTCTCTGACCTTTAGCCATGAAATTATTGCAACAGGTCACATTCAGAGAGCACACAAAGGCAGCGTGCCTCTGAAGCCAAGCCGAATCCATCAGCTGCTTCCTCTACTGCCTTCGCAGCTGGTCAGACCCAAGGTCCTGCCGTGACCTTTCAGGCCTCAGCAGGATCAGGAATTAAGCAAACAGCTAAGGCTCTTTTTTCATACAACACTACTCGGGACTGAGCCAAATCTCACTCATGACTCAAATGAGTAATGATGCTGGAACCAGGCAACTGAACTGTCTAAGACTAAACTTCCTACCTCAAACGATGCAGATACTATTCTCCATTCTGGCATCACTTTGCAAAACACATTTCTATGACATTAGAGCCCAAAATGCCAACTACAATGTCCGTAGTCAATAACAGAGATTAGCAGAAAATAAACAGGGTCATTTCCCCATTTAGCTGTGTGCAGAACATACTGGTTTGTGTGCATTTCAGGCAGTTTATCCTGTTTAAAGGTGAATGTCTATTTTCTTTAATTTTACAGAACCATTTCTTAATGCAGGTGCACTATTGTCCAGTAAAGAATACGTATTTTTAATGCTGTTACAGAAAGACAGTCTTCAGAGACAAGGGCTCTCAGTTTTATGAATTTCCTTTAGAACTGAAAAGAAACCAAGATGACTGTTTTACAGTTTATTAATTAGAAGCAGAAACTAGATTACATTTTAATGTAAGGTTTTGTGCATATACCTATTCACCCATGATGCTCTGCTTTTTATACTAGATAGAGAGAAAAGTTATCTGTTACTGCAACTAGGACTGCCAGTGTGGTTTGGTTTCTGCTCAGGTACCACTGCTGTGAGACCTACCCACTGCAACTAAGAACTTGGTTTACTGTAAACCAATTCCAAGACTGTGTTCTTCCATGCAAAAACATCAACAACTTACTTGGCTGGCTACAGGTATGATTTACAACTGTCCAGAAGTTACATATTCTGAAATAAATGGGTAGATAGATATTAAAGTGTTAGAAAGAACTAATTACTGTTTTCCTGAATGTTGATGTCCCAGGCCCTAGATTTTATTCCAAAAGCAAGTAAGCGGCAGAGAAGCATGATGGAATTGCTTGGCTGATGAGGACAACTATGGGGATAGTTTTCTCTCCTGTACAGCTGCCTACCTTTTTCCATATACATCGATCTGATGGCCTCTATGCCAACCCATTTGTCCTTCCGAACCTCTGCTAACAGTTGTCCCCATTCAAAAAAATCCTTTCTTCCTTGCCATGCACCAGAATAGCAAGTATCTTGAGAGTGGTGTTCAGAAATAACTTATTTCAAAGGGCTTATTAAATAAACAAATGCTGCTCTCTTTAGTCCATAAGGGAGAGTGAATAGGGGAAGAAGTGAAAAACAACTGTATCAATCGACTGCAATCAAAACAGCAGAATTATTAAATGTTGCTTTAGACACTTCCTGACAGTCACCAAGTAAAACAATACTTATGTTTTAATCTATGGCTCAATTCCATAATTACTTTTATGTGGTTGTCGAAACTTCAGTGAAGCAGAGTTCTGATGTACCGTATACATAGTTACGTACATAGTTTTTCAATTCTGATCTAAAATTTTGTTACATCATGGTTATCTGTAAAAATGTTACCATGTCCCATTTTGAGACAGGCGAGAGGGGCAAATTACTCTCATTGTCAGTTAAGCACTTTTACATCAATTCATTAATATCATTAAAGTCTAAGTTTCTCTGTTTTCATTCTGCGGCAGCACAGGTCATTAAAGAGGGTGCAGGAACAAGGCTCTGCAAACCCAGTGCAATTTCCAGCTCTGCTACTGGAATTTTTGTGACCTCAGATAAGGTACTCCATCTCTTCCTATCTCTGTTCCCCCCAAATTAGGACTAGGGTAACATTATCGGTCCCATTCTGTAGTATGTTTTGAAACCTACTTACAGAAACTGTCCTATGAGCATTAGGCATTTTTTTAACCACATGATTATACTTGAATGTTTGTTGAAGTTTCTCAAGCTAAGCCAGGACACTGAGTCAGTCCCAAGCTTGTAAAAAAAAAAAAAAAAATTGTAGCTGACTGGGACAATACTCCACATGGAAATGCAAAACCTTATCATTTGTACACTGAAAGCCAGTGACAACCTTATTATGTTTTATTGGTAGTGATTATTAATGCACTGAGAAAACAAACACATTATCCCTAACAAGAAATTGTCATGCTTAATCGTCAGTCTTCACAAATCTATTTCAAAACAAGCAAAAGCCAATCAATTGTATTTGAAGCACATGAAGTTTGTTTCATGCTCTTCGAAAAAGGATTGCAGTATGTTTTGGTGATTTTAAAATCAGAAGTGTACTTCTGTCTGCTGTCAAAACTAGAAAGCAAAGTAGTAAATAGCAAGCTGAAAATACATTCAGAAGTGGGTGAAAGTTCAATGGTCACACTTAGAGAAATGTTACAACTATTTTGTCTTGCAATAGCCGGTAGAGGAAGAAAGGGGAAGCTGAGCTGTACAAAAGGACATACACTTTTATTTTATATACACACACGAAAGCTGTCTAACAAAGTAAATACTCAAGCTCAACTTTTACAATCCTAGCTTCAGTTCACACAGTTCCTTCTTAATGACAGTCATTTATTCCTGACATTGTGCTGTCTCTCATGTTGGAAAGACTTCTGAACACTTGGAAAGCACCTTCTCTTTCTCTCTGGAAACGAATGCCAAATGTCCCAAGGCTTACCTGTTGTGTGATTCAGGGCACCTCTAATGCCTCACTTCTTTTATGCTTCTGTGTAAGACTCGCTTGTTTCTTCCTTTGGTTTGTAAGCTACGTTACAGGAACTGTTACTTGTTTAGTCATTTTTCTCACTATAGATGTTTGTATTTCTAAGGCCAGAGATGTAAACAACTAAAAAATTACCACTTCTCCCCAACAGAGACTTCCCCACCCCAGAGAGCGGGGGCAGATGTGGGCACCTCAGCCCTGCCTGCCAGTTTACTCCAGCTGCTACCAAGGCAGGCTCTGTCCTGCCAACTCCTCTTGGGATTATGACCTCTAGAATATCCCAAAAGAGATATCCTTCAGCCTCCAAGCTAGAGGCACCAGAGTTCATCTGACTGTGCCCAACATACCACATAAACAAACTGACTGTGTACATAAGCCAAGAGCAATATACATATATATAGCCACAGTCATATGATTTTCTAAAGATAGGTCTCCTTCAGCTAGAGGTTATGGCCTTGATTCACGCGTTCCTGGCTGAACTGTTATGATGTGTTTTGCAGGCAGCACGCTTTGGGGGCATCATGGCCCTTCTGTCCGTACTTACCAATGAATTTGGTCAAGCTGAGCGCTTGCTGTTCAGTTACTTGAGTTAACAACACGGAGCAAGTGAACTTCAAGCCACAGATTTTACTGAAGAATGAAGCTGTTGTAGGCCATGTCTGCATAATTTTCATAGCAGACATATGGGAGGGTATGCAAGCAAACAGGTTTTATCCTATACCAGCCAACAGGTTTTATCCTTTCATCCTAGAGATGCACTTCGATTCAGCAATACGTTTGGACCATGAGAGGATGCCCGAGTGGCTCAGATGAGCGGTCTATCTACTCCCAGACTCCATCTCCAACAGTGGCAGCCAGAGAAGCTATTCAGGCAGAATACACAAGTCTGGACACTGTGTGGTCCACTTTCCTCATGCTTCCCAGCATCTGCAATTATTGTATTAGGAACATAGAAGGTACATTCCCATCTAGTCCTCTTGGTATCCGTTTATGAGCCCTCTGTCCATTAATTCATTTAATCCCTTTTTGAATATGCTGATGCTCTCATCCACTCACAAGTACAAGTTTATGTATATTTCAGAACCAACCAAACTGAAATGCTGCTAGGAAATTAAAAAAAAAAAGCAGCAACAAAAAACCCCCAAACCAACCAACTTGCACATAAACAGTACCTTACATCAGGCCTGACCATGACTGATCAGCCCATGTAAAAGATCAGATCATCCTAGAAGAAGATAAAGTTCACAGCTAAAGCCATTATCAGAAAGTTTGTGGTCTTTGGTCTGTTTCATGTCAGCATAAGCACTGGCAGAAAATGAGGGAGACATCATGAAGTGACATAACTGTCACGTGTGTCTCGTGACAAAAACAAGCATTCAGAGAGGTTTGTTTAGTAATACAATTCCCAATCAAGGCAGTTTAGTATTTGAAAGTGTTTCCCTAAGTCTTTCTTCCCTAAGGCGTACGTAATGTATCGGAATGAGTTCTTTTTTGTTGTTTTTTTCCCCACCAAAAGCCTGCAAGTTGGAAACCAGACTAAACCACATCCAGCAAGATCCGCGCCGTGAAACCCAGAAGACGAGCCTGGCTGCCAGCCTCACCGCACCGCGCACGCTTGATTTACTGATCGGGACGAAACCACCAGCAGCCCGGAGCTGCGCCTGCTGCTTTTCCCCGGGGCGGGCAGAGCATTACACCCCAACCCAGTTCCGTCCTCCCCTCCCGGGTGCGGTCACGGAGCCGGGGTACGGCGGAGCCGGGGTACGGCGGAGCCGGGGTACGGCGGAGCCGGGCCCCGGCTCTAACCCGCTGCGGGGACGCTGGCGACTCCCCCGCCTCGGCTCCAACTACAAAAGGGCTGCCCTGCGCCTCGGCTCTCCGGATGGCCCCCAGGGAACCGGGCCGGGTCCGTTCGCCTCTCCAGAGCCGGCACCGGCACCGGGAGCGCAACGCCGGCGGGGCCGGGGCGCCGCCTTACCGTCTGCTGCACCGCCCTGAAGGTGGCATCCAGCAGCATCAGCTTCCAGGGGTCCGACACGGTGCCGGGCAGCGGCAGGTACACGTAGTAGGCGGACAGGGCTGCCAACGCCGCCAGCAGCACCCAGGCGGCCCGCATCGCCGCCGCCCGCCCCGGGGTGCGCGGGG